GTGTCCAGTTACACTTGCCTGACTCATCTTCTTTCCCCTTATCTGAGCGCATCTGAATTCCTCACTTACCTACTTGACTCTTCCTTACTCTTCAATTGATAAACGAACCATACCTGTGTTTTAGTTCCTCCCTGACAGACAGTTGGTGGTCTCCATTTTTTTTTTTTCATAAATAAAGCAGCAACCAATATTCTTTTACTCACCTCCTGATGAGCAAGTGCAAAAGACCCTCTAAAGCAGGATCCCCATCCCAGTTGGGGCCAGCTGGGAACTGGGCTGCCCAGCAGGAGGTGAGCTCACATTACCACCTAAGCTCCCGTCCTGTCTGGTCATCAGCATCATTAGATTCTCTTAGGAACACAAACCCCATTGGGAACTGTGCATGCGAGGGCTCTAGGTTAGAAGAATCTAATGCCTGCTGATCCTCGGTGGAGCTGAGGCAGTGATGCTAGCACTGGGGAACGGCTGCACATACTGCATTATGGTGAGTCGCATAATGATTTCATGACCTATTTCAATGTAATAATAATAGAAATAAAGTGCACTGTCAATGTAATGCCCTTGAATCATCCTGAAATTACCCACCCACACGCTGGCTCTGGTCCATGGAAAAAACTGTCTTCCGGAAAACTAGACCCTGGTGCTAGAAAGGTTGGGACCGCTGGTCTAGAGTAAATGTCCAGAAATAGAACTGCTTTCTCATGAGGCTGGTGCGTTACATATTGCCCAACTGTTCCCTGAAGTACCAACACGTGCTCTCACTAGCAGTGCGTAAGGGTTCCTTCTCCTACACCCTCACCAGCCCCTGTCAGGCTCAACTTTCTCCCAGATTAACATCAATGACTTTGTCTTCTGGTCTTATTATACTTTCTCCTTTATGTTCACTTCTCTCCCCTACTGGGTTGTAAAGCTTGGGAGGGCCGACTCCTTGCTTAACTCACTTTATGCCTCCTACAAAAGGCATTGAGCTTCGTAGGTACACCAAGAGTTAAGAGCACACCAACAATGAACAGAATTAATTCATCTTGGCCCACGGAGATGGCGCGTTCCATTCTGACAGGGATGGGGTTTCCTATCTCTGTTAATCTGGAGCGAGGATGTGGGCAGGGAATTCCCCTGAACTGCAGAGGTGGCTGCTCAGGGCCACCGTGGGCTAGAGCCAAAGGCTTCAAGGTCTACAGAGGACTGTGACCAGCCCCCTGGAGATTCCAGTTTTAAATGTGTGTAAATATGTATATATATATATATATTTTTTTTTT